TTCTACTTCATAATAAATCAACTCGATCATAAGATTGTAAAAATAAATACTTCATAGTGCCTAGTACTTTGATATTTTACAGATAGTAGGAATTTTGTACAAGTGCTCCCATTCCATACATGTGTTGCATGTTATAATAAGATATGTTTAGGTTTGAGCGAAAAAATGGTTTTGCTGTTCAGATTTCAATTCTCGTGTTTAAGTTTAAGGTATAAGTTGTAACTTAATTACTATGTGCATTACATTTTGTTTTGAATTTTGTTCTTTTTGAGCACTTAGTTAAAAAACTGTGGTTTTTGGGGGGCGGTATGTTTAGTACATATTTGATTTTTTTTCTAGCGGTCGGGTAATCCTATGTAATTATCCCTATAAAACAATGTATATCGCTGTAGTTGTTTGCGCGGCAATAGATGTCATAATGTATGTTCAGTAAGAATAAAGTAATCATTGAGTGAAGACACGTTTATTGAATTATTTCACCTGCAAGCAAAAGTGCACCTTATTATAAAGTGTACAACTATTTCTGTGCAATTAGATTGTTAATTCTTATGCAGATATGAAACAGGAAATAAAAATCTGCAATTGCCAAACCACCTGCGAAGCATGGCAATATTGTAAACATCCCCCGTGTGAGGCAGTGTATGGGGACGTATTTGTTCAGCGGTGAACTTGGAACAAATGTAGAACAGACCACCTCTCGTGTAGAATAGAATAGAATAGATAATTTTTTAATTCAATATATCCATTGTCCATTCATTGATGCCGTGGTAACTTATGAGCTAAGCACTCGGTGTAAATTTCACAATACGCGAGTAACCCGGGTTCGATCACCGCCGACACCAATAAAATTGTTAATTGCAATTTTATTTTTTTATAGAATAAGGGTGACAAACGAGCACACAGTACATCTGATGGTAAGTGGATGCTTTGTCCCATAGACCTCTCCATCTATCCTCGATTATGAATCAAAACGCGGATGTGTTGTCACCCGTGAGGACTAAGATGGAATGCCTCTTTTCCAGTAAAAAAGGGTCTCCGGTTCTCTACACTCACCGTACGAAACACAAAAAAGTGTGACAAGTTTTGATTTGTGATTGTGTAAGTTAACTAGTGATGTATATTTTACCTAGTTTAGTTTAGTTTAAGACGGGTTGTTTTCCGCAACTCCACGTCTAAGCGCGTATTTTGCGTGTGGGCAGGAATAATATGGTTATTCGAGCCACGAAACCTCCCCCGAAGAAGCTCAGCAGTCCCTTGATGTTGCAAGCAACTTCGGGGAGCGATCCCGGCGTGCCGAGATGTTTAGCCCTGTATGAAGCGACTTCTGGATATGTCAGCAACACCTGAGCCGCCGTTTCTGCCTCTCCCATGCATGCCCTGCACAGGGGGCTGTCAGTAACACCTATGGTGAACAAATGTTTGTTAAAAGAGCCATGCTCTGTGATAGCACTTGTTACTATTCTGATCTGTGGCTTGTTCAGTCTCATTAGAACCTTGGTTAGACGACTGTTTATTTCAGGCAGGGCCTCCCTAGCTTGTCTACAGTCTACTAAATTTTTCCAAAGCTGAGCGTGTAAATTATTGAAATATCTACGTACCAGTGAACGAACGTAGCCAAAGGGGATTGGTATTATTGGTTCCGGTCCTATAGTTACCAGGGCCGATCCTCTTCTGACCAGTTCATCTGCTGCATCGTTGCCTCTAGATCCATTGTGTCCCTTGATCCATTGCAGAGTCACGTTGTTGTGCTTACATACCTCATTCAATCGTTGATGGCACTCGTATATCAGTCCCGAGTTCGTCACATTGCATCTCAGAGCTTGTAGTACCGCCATACTGTCGGTCAGTATTCTATATTTTCTGTATTTCTATATTTTACCTATAAGCACTTTCGATAAGTGATTTCAGTGCGGCCACTATAATGCAATTGGAAGTGCTAAGGGAACGGTATAAAAGTTTAACAAAATTGGTTTAGTACATGAAACGGAATAACTTCAAAAATTAACTGATTTTTACCTATCTAGTACCATGACTATCATCCACAAATAAATAATTGTAATATTTTATTTATTTATTCAATAAACACGTTAGCGGGATTAAGTTGAACCTGACTACCTTTTGTTGGATTTTAAAACAAAACGTATAAAATCACAATAATCTCTAGAAACCTGAGTCTACTCGTAAAATTTGACAATTTTCGTCAAGAAATAGATCAGAAAGTTGTGTTTTAGAATATTTATGAAATTTTTTACTGTCAAGGACAGTATGTTGTCCACACTTCCGGTCGCAATGGCGTTCCGCGTGGATAAATAGAAAAGGAACACATTGAAGAAGTTCTACATTTCCTTTAGCAATGTAGGTAAATCCGAAATCCAAACATTGGTCGTCATATTTTCTATAATTCTTCCGTTTTTCTGAAGTTTCTTTACTGCTATCTCCTGAGTATTCAGTTATTTTCTACTTCTTTGAATAAAATTATCTATCATCAGTATTGAAACTCCGCGTAATTGAACAAAACAAAAGCTTGACTGACTAAAACGATATGAATACGTAGAAGAAAGGGAAACGCGCGGAGAGGTCGACGCCGGCCGCCCGCGACTCTGCTACGGGACGTCAGAAACAGAACTAGGATGTGAGGAAAAGCATCAAAAATCGATTTTTGCAGCATTGATTTTTTCGTCTAATTTTTTAAATCGATTTTCAGATAATCGACTTTTTTTAAGAAAAATAATCGATTTTGTAAAATAAAACGATTATTTGTAAATTGACTGAATGAAACATATCACTTTCGTTTTATTATTGAAAAAATCTTTGGAAAAAGTAGAAATTAAAGGAAAATCAATATAGTTTTCTCATCTGGTTGGGTTCTATAAATAATAATTATCACATAAATATCAGTAAAATTAAATAAATATAAAAATACATAAATAAATAAAAGCCCAACCAGATGGAGGCCCTCGGCAGGGAAGACCAAACGGCCGAGGGTTAGGGGGAAAGGGAAAGAAACCGGCGGACGATGCGGGCGGTATCGAGGAGCACCGCCTTCTGCATTTGAGGCTGAAGCGATCCGCCACGTAGTGCCAGCCGCCTCAGATGACCCGAGAGGCTGACTGGGATTAGCCCGTTTGCAGAGACGACTACAGGAATAATTTCGGTCGGCAGACCACCCCACATGTCGGTCACCTCATGAGCCAGGTCCAGATATTTTGTTCATTTATCTCTTTCGGCTTTCACGAGGTTCTCGTCATATGAAATGGTAATGTCGACCAAAAATATCCTTGACTGTGCCCGGTCCATCAGCACAATATCAGGCTTATTCGCAAGAATAGTCATGTCTGTGATGATGGCCCGGTCCCAATAGAGCCTGGCGCGATCATTTTCGAGCACGGCTTCAGGCAAGTACTTGTAATACGGCAATTTACGATCCACGAGACCGTATTTCATAGCGAGCTCCTGGTGAAGAATTCTGGCTACTAGGTTGTGTCTGTAGGCAAGTACTCAGAGTTAGAAAGCGCCGAACAACCGGAGATGACATGCCTAAGTGATTCACCGAGACTGACAATCTCGACAGATGTCGACGGTGCCATCCTTTAAGATGTATCTCCGATAGTTGTTGGTCTTAATAACCTGATCCTGTATTGCACAGACAAAACCCTCGGTTTCCCCGAAGAGGTCACCAAAGCGTAGCCAGTGGAGGAAGGCTACTGTGTCTACGAAAGGCTCATGTAGAGCCTTGTAGAACCTCCCGTGGAGCTCCTTCTCCTTCCATACAGTCTCCCGGTCGGAAATGCTCTGCACTGCCGGGTCTTGCCATTGCTCGTTGGCTAAGGATAGAGGGGTAAGTGCTTTATCACAAGAAATGACGTCCTTATAGAATGGATCATCCGATCTTGCCAGGAAGTAATCACGGAGGCTGCACACTTCGCGATTATGCATGGTGAGCGCGCTCAGGAAGTCACGCCCACCATGCTTTCGCGGCAAGTACAGCCTCATTACCGACGATCTCGGATAATGCATCCTATGGGACGCCATTGTAGTGCGGACTTTTCTATCCAGGGCGTTAAGTTCAGTCTGAGTCAACCTGAGTATGCCAAAGGTATACATGAGGACAGGCATGACCCAGCCGTTATATGCGTGTGCCTTATTCACACGGGACAAAAGGCTGTTAAGCACTTTGGTCAAGCGTGCATAAAGCATGTCGCAAACTGACCGCACACTTATCCGTCCCCAGCTCCATTCCAATGGAATTGCTAAATTCACAAGTAATGTTTAGCTATTCCATAAGATGGGAGCGACTGGGGGCGAATAACTTGAGGTCATCCATATAGAAAAGGTGGGTCACTTTTGTCCCACCTTTCCGTAGCTGAAATCCCCTCCCGGAGCCCTCCAGTAAGGTACTGAGAGGGTTCAGAGAGAGGCAGAACCAGATTGGACTCAGACAATCTCCCTGGAAGATATTCCTTCTTATCCTTATGTGGTTCTCCACAGCCATCATCCGCTCGCCCAGATGACAAAGGATCGTACTCCACTGCCCCATACACTGCTCGAGGAAATCTCTAACTGTACAGTCCATCTTCTACAGCTCGAGGACTCTCTTTAGCCATGTATGGGGCACCGTGTGGAATGCCTTTCCGTAGTCTATCCAGGCGGCGGAGAAGTTCCGACGGTTGCGTTTCACCACTTTGCCAATGACCGCGTCAATGAGGAGTGGTTCCTTGGTTCCACGACCACCGCCCCGACATCCATTTTGAGCGCGCGACATCACCTGATTTGAGTCCAGGTGACGAGTGATTCTCGCACTCAAAATGGATGTTAGTCTTGTACGAGTATATGGTCGGCAGACACGTGATGGGGCGGTATTTGCTCGGGTCTGTGGTACCCTGGTCTTTAGGAACCAAATGGGTGATCCCAGTAGTGAAGAGGCTCGGGAGCGACTTCTGGTTGAGAGCCTCTTGAAACTGTCGGGCGAGCACAGTGCGACACACCACGAACCCCTTCAGCTAGTAGTGATGTAGCCCGTCGAGTCCCGGAATTTTCCAGTTCGGGGCCCTACGGACCACCTCAGCTTCGTCATCCGGTGTTATAATGACGGGGTCCATGGGCGTTATATTCGCACACTGACTCGCCACAACTTCCGTCCAAGGGCCCTCGCTGTGGTTTACGGGCTCTGACCACAAGCCGCGCCAGAATGCTATAGTGTCGGCCTGATTCGGTGCTGGGCCCGTTCCACTTACCATTGGTCGCTCCAATGATTCGTAGAGCCTCTTCTGATCACTCTGGAAGAGACGATTCTGGTTGAACCGTGTCGACCTCCCGGTATATCGCTGAATCCGCTTTCCCAAAGCAGCGATTCTCTGCTTCAGATCATCTATGCGCTCCTTCAGTTTTTGCGTTATATCCGGACAGTAGTAGTAGTAGTATTAGAACGACAAACTGACATTTGTCCCCGCAAACGCCATCCTGAAGTTGCGCACTATTCTTGGCCTGTTATTGCCTGATCTGAAGCATATCAGTCTGCCGATGAGAGCTCTAGCCTTTACGATACGTTCCTCAATTCTTCTTCTCCATGCTGGAATAGCGCTACTTTGGCCAGTAGCGCGTCCAGCCGTGGAAACCTTGGCGCCTATGATACGGCAGACTGCCAGCGCGGCGCCAAAAAGTATTGACTCCGTCTCGCAAAGGTCCCGACTGGCTTCCAAATAGGTCACCAGCATTGGGTTCAGAGCCCTCACGACAGCCCGATTCCGCTTGCTTAGGGCTATGCGGGGAAGTCGCGGTCGATTTTCAAGAGGCGTACTGCGCGTTTCCACAATCGCCTCTTCCAATGTACTCCTCATATGCTTTAATTCCAGTTCCTGGGCGACTGTTACATTGTCGTTTGAATCAACCACAACTGGGGTATTTACGGCGGTATTCACGTTTGCGGGTTGCTCTGCAATTTGTGGCGCCGTATACTCAGCCGTAGCATTTTCATCCGATGAGGGAACAGCCTCACGTCGTAGCCGTTCGAATTCGGCGACATCAAATATATTTGAGCGCAAGATATACCGATCTCGGTCTGCCAGGTTTTGCTCTATGACGGTTAAAGATGGCTCCAGCTCAGCAAAAAGACGATGCATCCTAGCCCGATACGCCAAAAGTACACCCGCAGTGCGTTTGCGTTCATTGTTTGTGACCAACGCATGCGACGTGCTCCACCAGCGGCGGGTGCCGCTTGCTGAGTTCGAGAAGACCCAGCCGACACCAAGCCTTCTGGTGGGGATAATGGATGCGGAGGGCTGCTAGGTGACCGTGCAGCTCCTCGAGCTCGGCTGGCTGCCCGCATGCTGCCGCGTCCAGCGCCTGCTCCAGACGCGCCCCGGCGACCCCCAGGCAGCGGCCCTATGCGTCTCTTTGTGCCATCATCCATTTGGTGGGCGCCAAATAACGGGAGACGCCCAAGCCCGGCACCGTTTCGTGGTTGAGTATGCACAAACGGACCTTTGCACCCACAATATTGCCTAGGCCTTTTTATTTTAATTTATTATTATCATTTTACTTCATTCCTTATAGACATTATTTTTATTTATTTCTTTTAATTCTTTTGTTTGTTGGTTGTTTACTCTACATTTCTTTCTTAAATGTATGGCCGTAATTGCGATTGCTAATCACGAGGTCCCTGGTTGGGTCAAAATTAATTATTGTTTTTTTTTTTAAATTAATTATTATTTAGTTTCTTCTTTATTACTTTTTGACATTATTTTTATTATTTCATCATCATCATCATCATTACAGCCATTCACAAGTCCACTGCTGAACATAGGCCTCCCCCCAAGTAATGCCACAAAGCACGGTCCTGAGCCACCTGCATCCATCGACTTCCTGCATGTCTTACCAGGTCGTCACTCCATCTAGGGGGGGGGGGGGTCGCCCTACACTTCGCCTACCGGTACGAGGCTGCCACTCGAGAATTTTATTATTTACTTGCAATTAATTTTAATTTGTTTATTAATTTCGATCCGTTTACTTTCAATTAATTGTTTCTGCATAGAGTTTCAAATTTAAAATTAAGTTTATTGTTCGTCCTCACTTAGGTATTTCTTTTTTCCAAAATATTTTTTTTAGTAAATAAGGTTTCTGGTTCTCTAAACTCACCATACAAAACACACATTTGATAATCTTTTATAACAACTTTCTGCGGGAGCTGACGAAGTTGGAATGACCAGGTGCTTGCAGGCCAATTCTGAGAGTTTTGGATACACTCCCGCATAAGATTCTAATTCTCAATCCCTAACGTACATGTAAAATATTATGATGGAAAATGTAATTCACCAAAATCATACAAATTATCAACAACGTGACTTTTTTCTTTGTAAAATGTAAAACGAAATAATTGAAATAATTCTATATTTTAAACAGTATATTACAACATAATTTTTAACCAAAAATAAAGCAGTGAATTTACCTGTGAAATGTACAATTATTAGGAATCTTTTTATTTGCAGTCACAAAACAAGTTGGCATTGTTAAAGAATTACATAAAATTCAAAACTCAAAACTATTTTAGTACCTAAGAAGATCATTCCTTGCGTGCCGACTTGTACTGATTCAAAACAGTCACAGTCATGAGATAAGCTATTCTTTTTTTATATTGCAATAAGGAATTTTCTTCTCCCTTGCACACTATGGCCGTCTATATATTCCAAGTCTATAAATTTACTACCTGCTCGGCGGTGAAGGAAAACATCGTGAGGAAACCTGCATGTCTGAAAAATAAGAAAAAAATATTTCGATAACATGTGAAGTTCGTCAACACGCATTGGGAAAGAGCGGCGGACACTTCCTTGCCCTAAAACCCTCTTAGAAATAAGAAGAGGTCTGTGCCAGCAGTGCGACGATATAGGCTGTGACATTCACTTTAAGTTCTTTCTTCTAATTGTGTTATAAAAAAATTAAAACACACGTGTCAATCGTTCATTTCTAGTGACCCGTTCGTTCACGTATTGATTGGTCTTACGAACCGGGTCTTTCGGTTTGATCGCTCAAATTAATTTCACTGTTTATTATTACATAATGTTCTAAACTTTAAAATGACGAATCATTCACGAGTGACACATGCCCGCCACGGCCGTGATACAGCCATCCTGATTTTTTCAAATTTGATCATGTCCAGTGCGACCTGTGCCCGAAGCGGCTCAAGTCTCGCAAGTTCCTGCAGATCCACAAGCACAACGCGCACACCGGGAAGCGATACGGATACCTGTGTCCCGTGTGCGAGCACCGCTTCGAGAAGCCCAACAAGGTGCGTGCTCACACCAGAAGAGTGCACGGACTGCCCGACGACAGGCAGGGTCCTATCGTCAGAGTGCAACTGTGAGGGTAAGCTCATCATGGTCAAGTAATTTGTATTGCCGTGCTCGTACTATAACTGTGGTCAAATTATTTTATTTTATTGAACCCGACGAATATATATATATATATATAATTTAGATTTAGTTGTTTTTGTTTGAAAGGTGACTTGATCGAGAGTGTTCTTAGCTATGATTCAAGACAATCTTTTCAGTCGTTTGAAGATCATCAGGTCTTTAAGTTTTGGCGGGTTTTTAAATTTTAATTAAATATTATTTATTTCATAAGCACACTTGCAATATGCATATTCAACATTAACACTGGATTATACGAAGAGTAACACGTTACACGCTCATATGTGTATCAATAAGTGTACATAACATTCCTTGGTGAACAAATATATGTAAACATTGAAAAGGAAATAATAAAATAAATCTATATTTATACATCTATATGAAAAAATTAAATTGAAGTGTGTTTGTTATGTCAAAATAACAGCTTTTTACTTAATGCTTATATATGTACGGTACCATATAACAAAAAGACAATTTTGACGGGACTTTTATTGGCAGATAGCTAATGTTATGAGGAGTAACTTAGGCTACTTTTATTTTTGAAAAAAAAACCGAACTTTCCGCACGAGAAACAATTAAAACCCATTAAATCCAATCGTAATATAATTTCGCAGGGAACAGCTAGTTTTAATATATTTTCCTTTATGGCTCTACTGGAAGATATTTCAGCAAATTATGGAATAAGTAGAACCTTTGTACGAGCTTACAATAAAACTGTTTCTGTAAATTGTACATATCTTTATCTTCATCTTTCTGTATCTTTAGATTTTTAAACGTTACCTCCACACTGTATGACCTTTTTACCGTCTGGAAAAAATATGGTGTAACATGTGAACGGAGTAGAAGCCTATGGCACTAGTATTTTACAAGAAATAGAAACAAAAATTTTGAGTTAAATAAATAAATTAATTATAATCTATTGAAATTCAAACCATATCCAATCTACTTTACGAACGGCGATAAAACAATAAATTTAGTAAACAACTTCGACGTTGTCGCTTCGCAGGGTCACATGCTCAATGGCAAAGTAATTGTTTAAAACATTTTTTCAAAGATTTCATTATGATTTGCTTATATGAGAGCCATGGTAGCTTGCTGACGAGGATGCGTTCTAGCGAATCGTATGTTTATTTTTATACGATAAGAGTGACAAACGAGCACACAGTCCATCTGATGCTAAGTGGATGCTGTGTTCAATACACATTACATCTATCCTCGATTATGAATCGAAATGCAGTTGTCATCCGTGAGAACTAAGAAGGAATGCCTCGTTTCCAGTAAAAAGTGTTTCCAGTTCTCTACACTTACCATACGAAACACAACAGCGTTGAGCTGCTGTTTTACGCTGTGAAATGCTTTTCAAGAAGGATTGCAATATCGAGGATATCTACTTGGTGCTGATAGAGGAACCGATTTAAATTCTTCCGGCCTCAAGGAAGAATAAAAGAAAAAACAAATTACAAAAAATATTAATTACAATGAATAAAAACTGTACGATGTTTGTTACAGGAGTGATTTAATGGTTTGAGGTCACCTCGTATGGTCCGTGGGAACTTGGAAGCACCGCGGTGGCTCGATGATGTGTTGCAGACTTCTTTTTTAAAACATTACCTTAGGCAGCTTACATACGTAAATTGCACAAGAACACACATCCATGACCCGAAACAATTATTTGTAGGCCATACAAATATTTGTTCCCTGCGGAATTTAAACCCGCCGGCCCTTAGCACTGCAACTCATTGCTAAGCCACTGCGCATGGAGCCGACAAAACTTATACCTCTAGGGATACACTTATACTTAACAAGTTGGTAAACAATTTTATTTATGTTGTTTTTTGCAGCTAGCCATATGACTTATCGAAGAACTGAACGTGGCTGCAATTCCAAGCTCGGCGTGGGGTTTTGTCACTACTCGTGGAGAACCGTTGTAAAATGCAGCATTCATACGCTGACGACAAATGAGAACCGAAAATCCTATCGTCGGCGAGAGCATTTCATAACGCAACTTGGCGTCTTCAAGGAGTCATCAACTTCCTGATGCGGTGTCAATGAGCTGGGAATTATTTTACGTCGAAATACACCACTAACTTGAAGTGCATTGTAAAGTGTGCGAAAAATGATAATACATTTAATAAAATAATTTATTTATATTTAAATTGTTAAAACTTTAATTAGTGACCTTGTGACCGCCATTTTATCGAATTCCCTTGTATGAAGTAATATTAAAATGGCGTCGGGTCAAGAACCTGTCATCAATTGTTTTTCATCAATTTAACTTTTTATTTACTCGATACACTTATGACACAGTTTCCTTGTCCGCGAACCAGAAACAGTAGTAGTAAACCATCGAAATGTTCATACATGATTTTATGGGAAAGGGTTAAAGTACATACAGCTACTAGCGGAGTGACGCACTTGTAGACAGTGAACTTGCGACTGAACCATCAGTATATAGCATGATAATAATATAGCAGTTCTTTTTATAGTGTCACATCGTATTAACACTTAGGGAGTCGCGTCCTAATTTATAGCGCAAGATTCACTCCGGGGTCCACTAGACCCAGTATAATATCGTAAACATATTCCAAGACTGCTTTATAAACAATGTTTACTAAGATACATAAGAATTACATAAGAATACGATACGTGTAAGAAAAATATTGTTTAAGCCAATACTTATATTTAATGTTTCAACTTATACAAAAGCTGTTACAAAAATATACTAAATTTGTCCATAGTTTTGTGACAAGTTTTGGGCATATCGTTACAATTTCTACAATTACTTAATTCGAACAAAAACTGAAATAAAAAAGGGATCAATCATCACAGAATTTTTTTAAAAACAAAAATACAATATCTTCTTCGAAGTAAAATCACACTCATTCATTCTACTGACACTTTTTAAACTAACCGACAGTCAACGTCGTCATGGGCTGTCATGTGTCATGTCATGTTACTGTCGTTGACAGGTACAAAGGCCGGCAACTTTATAAACGTTGAATTGTAATAGTTATATAGCAATATATTAAGGACTGAGTTTGTTGGACCCATTAGCGACTCCTTGAGTGTTAAAGTTATATACCATATATACGTCCCACTGCTGGGCACAGGTCTCTTAATTCTGAGAGGGTTTTAGGGCAAGGAAATGTCCACCGCGCTGCCCCAATGTGTGTTAGTGGACTTAAGATGTTTTCGAAATAGTTTTCTTATCTCAGACATGCAGGTTTCCTGACGATGTTTTTCTTCACCACTGAGCACGTGGTAAATCAGCACTTAAAATAGCAATTGAAAATTTCATTGGTGCTGGTAGCGTTTAGCTCCCTCAACCTCTTAATATTTTTACCTGTCTTGCATAATGATTTTATGATTTATTAAGTTAGTTTAGTAAACTCTAGTCCTGATAAACCATTTGAACCAGGTGGACTGTGAGTCATTAGTCAAAACACGATTACTATACGGTTAAAAATAATTGTCTGTCAGTATTGTGTACATATTTTTCTGATTAATTAAATAAATATACAGTATATTGAGTAGTTTTAGAATAAGACTGATTTTTAAAAGAACTGTAAAGCCTGTATTTTATGTGCAATGCAATGTTGCAGAATCTCTTGTTATTAAATGTATATAACTTGGGCTTATTTTTTTTCGTAATCCTAGCCTGTTTCTTAAAATCAACAGCAACACTGCCTATCACGATGCGACATAGAGCAGCCTCTCTGCAACATCATAATCAACTTTCTTTCCTTGTACTAAAATTATCATAACCGTCAGAATATTAACCTCAGACTTGTGGAAATGGCCAAAGCAGCCTTGTCTGCGCAGTACTTTATACTACTTGAACGAGTGTGGAAGTTTTAAAGCTTATTTTTTATAGAATATGGATGATAGACGAGCACAGTCCACCTAATTAGCACAGTAAACTAAAATTTAACTTTGCACTAAATTTCCGATCAAATTTTTATTTTTTATAAGTTTTAGGATCACTTACTCAGTATAAGGGCTATGCTCGGAGTTTCTCTGCGTGATAGACTCAGAAATGAGGATATCCGCAGTAAAACCAGAGTGACCGACATAGCCCAACGGATTAGTAAGCTGAAGTGGCAATGGGCCGGCCATATAGCTCGAAGAACCGATAACCGATGGGGAAGAAAGGTTCTCGAGTGGCAGCCTCGTACCGGTAGGCGTAGTGTAGGGCGACCCCCCACTAGATGGAGTGACGACCTGGTAAGACATGCAGGAAGTCGATGGATGCAGGTGGCTCAGGACCGTGCTTTGTGGCATTACTTGGGGGAGGCCTATGTTCAGCAGTGGACTTGTGAAGGGCTGTAATGATGATGATGATGATGATGACTCAGTATAAAATCACAAAATGCTGACAGATTCAGGTGGCGCTTCAAGCGCCATCTTGAAAAAACGTTTTCAGCCGATATCTCTGAAACTATGCACTTTAAGGCAAAAGTTATACAAACCATTAGTGTAGAAGATAAAATTTCGCATCTTTTGTTTTCACTTTTTTTTTAACTTTTTTGTAAAACTTACCGTTTACGATTTATGGCCCATTTAATGAACCGGTTTTTCTATCGCGACCAATAAATAACTCTTGAAATATTAGATTAATCAATAAAATGCGTTAATTCATTTTTAAATATCAGTTTTTTCTGTACAATTTTTGTTTCAAACTTTTTTTTCTAATGTCCATACTTTTTGAGTTATAGGACGGCGTAAAGTTGAAAATTTAACGGCCGAGCGGTGCGTGACGCGGCAGCTATCTTGAAATTTAGTGCATAGTTGACCAAAAAAACTATTTTTACTGGCCTAAATGCTATCGATTTATTCGATGTTTCGCTTGTGGCGCGACGACAGCGCCGAGATCATGAGTTATACGTGTTTATCCACTGTATGCCTCAGTCCAGCGTATTCCACCTTCCCCTACGCTACTACTATCCGACGAGTATCTAATTATTCATAAGCAATCTTGAGATCATTTCAAAATCAAGAATTTAAAAAGATGTATGAGCATCACAATGAACATTTTGTGTAGGCATCCACTACTAACTGCCAGCTTACTCCTATCATAGACCCTGAGTCTTCGACAGTACCTAATAATCTTCTTTATAGTATAAGGGTGACAAACGGGCACACAATTCACATGATGGTATGTGGATGCCCATAAATATCTACATTTTATCCTCGATTAAGACTTAAAATGCGAGCTAAGATGGAATACCTGGTTCCAGTCAAAAGCGTTCTCTACGCTCACCATACGAAACAGCAGTAATTAAGCTGCTATTTCACGCTAGTATTCTATGAGAGCGTTGTCCTGCCCCGGTCGAGCCAAACCATTCGTGCTACAACCATAATATAGCTGCAACTTGGCGACGTAAAAATCTTTAGGTAGTTGGTAATTTCTATAGTAACTGTTCACGACCCAAGATGATGAGACGAAATGGAATGGGACGATGAAACTTTACGTCCGTATCACACACCTGGTCATTTATGTGCAGGGTGGGTAAAAATGCCGATGATGATTAGAAATTGATGTTTGCTTCGATACATACATATATGGTAGAGCCATGTTGTAGCTATATTATTGTTACGAGCTTGAGGTTCGTGACAATAAAAATTGCCGATAAAATTACCTAAATTAACACTTTAATTTACTTTGCACAATTAAAGTTAAAACACTAATAATTTAAACACACTAATTCACTTAATTCCACTCCGAAGCTTCGCTTGTTTCGCCCAAATCAACACTACCTCGATCGCACCTTGCAGCGCCTACTTATTTAAATTAGCAAATATCCAGAATGTTCAAGAAAACACGCGTAAGGCACCGAGAATTCGAGTATAGATTTTCTAGAAACTTAGTTCGTCGGGTGGCGCTGTCGGTCGAAAGGTTTGTGATGTCATTTACTGCCAAGCTCCCCTCGCTCCCGTTCCCGACACTAGATGGCGCTAGTTGACTTATTCATGCAACACTGCCCCCTCCTAAGACATGCTCGTCCCGAGCATTATCGGTCCCATAATAACGCGCCAAGCGATCCACATGGACGATCTTAGGAGTCCCTCTTGCGCCTTTCTGTATCCGGTAGGTCACATCGTTGATCCTGGTTACAATCCGGTACGGGCCGTCCCATTTAGCTTGAAGCTTAGGAGATTTCCCTTTGCTGCGGACTGGATTGTGCAACCACACTAATGAACCTTCGTTGAACCCTTTATTGTTCATTTTGCGGTCGTACCGGGTTTTCATTTTCTCAGACATTTGCTGGCCCGATTGTCTGACGTGCTCATAAATGTCATTCATTTTGTTCCGCAAGTCATTTGCATAATCGGTTATACTGCGTGGGGCATCAGGTGGTATCCCGGTGATCAGGTCCGCAGGCAGCCGTAATTCTCTTCCAAAGTTTGCGAAAGCTGGTGTCACTGCTGTACTTTCGTGAACAGAACTTCGATATGACAACAAAAACGGTTGTATGTGCTTGTCCCAATCTCGTTGCCGATTGTCTACAACTTTTGCTAGGTACCTCTCCAATGTCTGATTAAATCGTTCCACCATTCCATCAGATTGCGGGTGATAAGAAGTCGTTCTTGTTTTATGAGTACCCATAACTCGGCAAGTTTCCTGGAATATTTGAGACTCAAAATTCCTTCCTTGATCGCTGTGAATCTCTAAAGGTACTCCAAAACGAAAGAAGACTTCATGAACTAGTTTATCTGCAACTGTTGAAGCTTCTTGATTTGGAATGGCGAAGACTTCTGGCCACTTAGTGAAGTAATCCATCACAACCATGAAATACTTGTTACCGCTTTCACTCTCCGGAAACGGCCCCGCCACGTCAATGGCTATTCTCTCCCATGGTGCGCCCACATTGTACAACTTCAATGCACCTCTACTACGAGTCTGAGGTCCCTTTACAGCCGCACAATTTGTACATTTGCGACACCAGTCCTCGACATCGTTTCGACAGTGGACCCAGTAAAACCGTTCTCGGATCTTCAGTAGAGTTCGCTTAACTCCCAGATGGCCTCCTGAATAAT